AATCTTATTTAGCTTTAGCTATTAGTTATTTATTAAGGATTTATAAAATTTATAATTATATAAAGGAAAAATATTTTAAGGCTACTTATTATAATCTTTAGGAAGTAAATTAATAAAATATAATCTTATTTAGTTTAGATATATATAAGGATATATTATTTTATAATCTCTAGGTAAATTATATTCCTAATAATATTAATTAGTCTGCCTTAGGTTTAGGTAATAATTTTCTTAATACTTCCTTTTTATTTAAAGTTAATAGAAGTTCTTTAGGAGTTACTAGGTATTAATAAGATACTTTATTAATTCTTATATATTTTTACTTTCTAGGTAATTTTTCTATTTTATTAAGTATTCTCTTTTATTATCTTTTATATATATATCCTTAATTACCTTAGCTTTATAAACTTCTAGTCTTTTAACTTCTATAAGTTTATTATTTATTTTTACTTATATTATATCTTCTATTAACTTAAGTAATAAAATATAAAAAATTAAATAAAGCCTAACTTTTAATAATAGGTCTAATTTATAATTATTTTTTAAAACCTTATTAATAATCTTATAAGGTCTAATATACTTAAAGTTAAGTTTATAACTTAGTTATTTTATAATAATATTTTTTATAAATAGGTATATTATATCCTCCTTTAAAAAGGTAGGTCTTTTTACTCTCTTAGGGTTATAATAAAATATAAAAAATTAAATAAAGCCTAACTTTTAATAATAAGTCTAATTTATAATTATTTTTTAAGACCTTATTAATAATCTTATAAGGTCTAATATACTTAAAGTTAAGTTTATAACTTAGTTATTTTATAATAATATTTTTTATAAATAAGTATATTATATCTCTTTTTAAAAATATAAATCCTCTTACTCTCTTAGGATTATAATACTATTATATTTATTTTCTAATAAATTCTAGTTCTATTTAGAGTTTATTATATAAGTGCTTTAAATTATTACTTTTAATAATTACTATAGGATTAGTAGTTTTAGGTTTTTATATATTATAATATATATGTCACGGGTCAGGCTCGGGAATACAGGTGAACGGGGAACGCTTCGGGCGGGATAGATTCTATTGCTAAGGATAGGCACTGCAGGCAGGTCAGGCTCTATTGACAAGACGTAGCTCCAGGAGCTACGTTCAGGAGCTATCAGGCGGTCGGTCAGGATCTTCTGCGATAACGTATCGCCACGT